CTTGCTTGTGCTCGGAATTTGTGTGGTATCCTTGAGATCCACCCTGAGCTTGTTTTGCTTTGACTGGTCTTGTGACCCCTTGCTCTCCCCACTTCGCCTATGGGGGTGTGTCAAACATTATACATGTTATATTTGTGTAGGCTATAGTGGGTTAGCCTGTAGGGGGGTCACAATTCTAGGGTTTCATATTTGTACCAAACTCACTGCTAGTTCATTCATTCCTGCTCAGTTATTTCTGACAACTCCTACAGGAAACGAAAACGGCGATGAACGGGTCCTTCAAGTTACTCTGCGACAACCAGAGTGCGATAAAAATCACACACAAGCCCGGCTTCGTCAACCGCACCAAACACATCGCCCTGCGATACTTCTTCGTCAAGGACGAAATCGACAAGGGCAAGGTCCAGCTCACCTACTGCCCGACTGGCGAGATGGCAGCAAATTTTCTGACTAAGAAGCTGCCACGTCAGAAGTTTCAGTACTGCTCGGACCTGTGCGGAGTTGTTCGCAAGAGCCACGTGGCGCTCCTCCAGGAATGAAGGGGAGTGTTGGAGAATGAAGAGAACCTCACTTAAGCATTCCCGAAGGTGCAGCAACATCGCACCAGTCACTATCGAAGCAGCGCGAGCAACAGATGTCGGATCAGCCCATATCAAAGGCAGGAAAGTCAACAGTCGCAAGAGTCAACTGTCGCGACTGTTGACTATCTGGACCGACGATTGACCTACTATCGAGGAACGGCAACATGCGTAACCGTACGCACGGTTACAAGCAGCGACTCGGTAACAAGAAAGGAAATGCAATAGTCAGAGTCACTGTACTGCCTGTAAAATAGTTATAATAAGGGAATGTACCCCTTAGAGTACATGGCTAGCTAGGACTATTTATTCTGCCTGTATTCTATCCTTTAATCAACTTTGTCATTTACATTCACTATGATCAAGGTTCCTACCAAGACTTCCGCTACCAACTCTTCCAAAGGCACTTCCTACCCTATCCAAGATCCTCACTCTAACATAACGCACCCTCACAGGTGCGTGAGTCCACCTCCATCAGGCGATCTGGAACATTGTAGAGACACCTGGACCACACACACTCCCTAATAAATCTCACGCCATCGTGCCACAGTCCGTGGATCATGGATGCAGGCGCGCAAAATGAGGGCCACGTTGGGTTTGCAATCATTGCATCTGGATTGCGTCAGATACGATTTCCCGCAAAAGAGCGGCCTTCTAGGGACCCTAAACTCGAGAAAAACATATATTAAACCCAACAGCTCTGTGATGGCGGGTGTAGCAACAAGTGGCAGTCCATGGGATTGAATGATATTCAAAATTGGGGAGGGCGGCGCGAGGCAAGTCCACAGGATTGAGCGAAAATTGAAAATCGTCGGGTCGCGTGATTATTTCGTTTTCGAGGTTCTATCCTATCCTTGCCCTGACCGTGACCAATTTTTTGGACGTTTCTGAATATGCAGTGAGGGTGCATTCCTATGGCGGGTCTGACATCAGGTCATCCGCCCTTAGTCTCTGATTTGTCTCTTCTCAATGTTGATTTGCCCCTATTTTGAACCACTTCGGGTCTTCCGAGCTTCTAAGGACGGATGACCTGATGTCAGACACGAGGTAGGAATGCACCCTGAGACGTGATAACGAAATGTCTTTCCTTTCAGAACGTTTGCTACCCTGGCCGTGCGTGGATATTCTAGAACGGTAATTAAGTATATTAGCAATGCCGCTGCCCCCTTTTTGAGAGGGAGCGAAAATGGGTGCTTCCCTGTTGACCTCTTGCGCCCATAAACACGGCGGGGGCTCGTTGCGTGTGATGTGGCTGGATGGATACAGAGCTATAAATATTGGGGCACAGAATAAAAGGTTTCAGGGTGGTTTACGCTGGCAGGTTGGGGAGAGTGCACGTCTCGAGCACCGCACACCGTGCCAAATCCGGAGCATTTTGCAATTGATGCTGGCGGTGATCTGCCCGAGCCCAGCAGCAAACGGGAAGCTCGAGCCTTTCCAAAAAACGTGGGGTGAGCGGGCGGTTCTGCGCTCCCCATGGCCTTCCTCTGCAAACCAGCCAGCGTGTCGTGAGTTGCGTGGAATTTTCAAGCAACTGGCCAATGGCAATGAGATAATACATGGACTGCATATCTCCAAAGATTCTTGTGATCTGTCGAATGTCACAAGAGAGAACCTGGACAGCATTTCTCGAAGGATACATACGATAGGATGCACACCCCTTCGACATGTCTACAAGTGTATCCGTTTGATAAACATTTATAATGGTCAAGAAGGAATAACAATACGGAAACAAAGCTCTTAATTAAGTCACGTAGGTGCTCAAGTATTATTGCATTCAAATCGCACGGTATACTATCTTCGGCCTTCAGTCACCTGCCAGCCAAAAGTTGAACCAAAAGTTGAACCTCAAGTCACCTTCAGTCATTTACTCTTGCTTTACACCTACCCCTCCAACCAGTTGCAGAAGGGAATGACAGTACAGAAAGTGCTACAGTCATTACGGCTGTGTCAAGCTGAGTATGCAAACAAATGAATCTATTAGAAGTTGAATACTTTATACATTGTTCCCTTGTAGAATCTAATCGCTACCAAGCCAGTTCCAGCCATGACCTTCCTGTCTGGTCCATTCTGAGGCCACAATTCGTTCATGCTCTGCAAAACAGCCACGCTCCTGCCACTGCCGGCTGTGGGGTATTTTAGAGAATTCTCAAAAATACCATTCTGAGGTCACAATTCGTTCATGCTCGGCAAAACTGCCACGCTCCTGCCACTGCCGGCTGTGGCTGAACCCCCTCCTCTTCGCCTCCACCACCTTCCGCCACACACCCTCTTCACCTGCTGCTCCCTCCTCCCCACTTCTGCTGCTCTTGCTGACCTTCCTGCCTTCAATACTGCCCTGTTGTTGTTGCTCCTGCTACTCCCGTTGCTGCTGCTGCTGCTGCTGCTGCTGCTGCTTCTGCTGCTGCTGCTGCTGCTGCTGCTGCTGCTGCTGCTGCTGCTGCTGCTGCTGCTGCTGCTGCTGCTGCTGCTGCTGCTGCTGCTGCTGCTGCTGCTGCTGCTGCTGCTGCTGCTGCTGGAAATGAAAGGCCTATCCCCTATGAACGGATATTGGCTGCAGAGAATTATGAAGAGCGAAACACCGGCGCTACAATGCTCGCACTCACGACCGTATGCCCCTGAGAATACCTCAGAAGGAAGCACACGCGGACCATTCTTGCAGCGACTTTTGAGGCGCCCCAAAAGGACCCGTGTACCTTACCCAACTACCTCAGAAGGAAGAACACCCGGAACCATTCTTGCAGCGACTCCCACTTTGATCAGTTGACGCTTTCAGGTGATTCTAACGATTCTGGACACATGCAGAACATGGCTCCTGTGACGTCCTCGTTATAAGCACAGTTCCATATAAACAGGTCCCCCCTCACAGAGTTCTATGACCACGCGCACATGCTGGGGGCAGGTAAGGGTGGCAGTTAGAGAGGGGGGAATGGAAAGAGACAAGGGAAAAGAAAGCAAAGCAAGGGTGAGCGTGGTAGGAGTATGCCGAGCTATGCCAGCTATTTTTGGCACAGGTAGGAGTGTGCCAGAAATGTTCACAAGACACAAACAAAGGGCGAGGGTAGTGGGTGATTGTAGAGGGAAATGGTCAGCATTGGCAACAGAAAGGAGAGGGTATTGGAGGGTCAAGTATGAAGGATTGGAGTGTGACACAGGTTTGAGCACCAGAAGTCATTACTCATGCATTTACAATGGGGCAGAGGGTATGCAAGGGTAAATTACCCTGTGCATCTGCGCAGCCTGCTTGACCCTACTGATGCTGACGTGGCTCTTGAGTTCTTCTATGGATGGCTACACATTCTGCACTGCCTCCACGTCAGCAACGCTCTGCACAGTTGGACAGGCAAGAAAGAAAGAAAGAAAGAAAAACACATAAAGGCGGAAAGGGAAGGAGAAAAACAGTTGCCAAAGAGGCAAACGGATTTGGTTCTGGAGCAGAGGAAACATCAGAGTGAAAACCAGGGGCAGGAGACAAGAGTGAAAACATCAGAGTGGAAAGGTCGAAATGAGGGTGGGGATATCGGGCAGAAAAATATTGGTCGGGCAGGGAGATTTCATGGCAGGGAGATCCCAAGGCAGGGAAGGGATAATGAAGGAGGAACCTACCTAGAAGGCAGCCTTGCGGATGCTCTTCCTCTTGCAGGCAGCTATCTTCTTGGTGCTGCGGTGCACGCATCCCCGTATCACACCGTACTGCCCCCTGCCTATCTCCCTCCTCACCACCACCCACTGCCGCCGAAGTTCCTCCTCTGGCCGCCCCAACACCTCCCCCAGCTCCCTTTGATAAGCGCAGATTTTATCGTAAGTAGGCGTATCTGAATCTGTGCCATGGGTAGGGGAGAGAGATTGGCCCATTTGCACCTCCCCCACTTGCACCTCCCTCTCTTCTGCTGCCAGGGTTGCGGGTCCACAGACGTCAATTCCCAAGGCTCAATCGAGGCTGCAGGCTGGACTCTGAGTCCAGAGCTGGCTCCGAGGTTCAAAATCCGAGGCTGGCGTCAGCAGGCGCAGGCGTCATTCAGTACAGTCGCTGGCAGAGGGCAGAGGGGTTGTTTTGTTGGCGTATGAAGTGAGTTTTGAGTCGACTCAAAGTCACCTGGTTGAGGGGTTGTTGGCGTATGAAGTGAGTTGACCGCATGGACTCCATTGACTGCGTTGACTGCACTGCATGCATTTGAAGGCGTTGGCTCAGTTGACTCGGTTGACTCAGTTGACTCGGTTGAATTGAGGGAATGCCGGGGAAACGAGCTTATGAGGAGCATCATCGAACCACTCCCGCATCAGCCGCTGCCGCTGCCTCCGCCCCACCACCCTTGGTGCCTTTCCAATCCCCAACGCCGCTACTTCGCAGAACCAATCCTCAATCGCCACGTCGGATTCCGCGGTACCGCCAGCGGCCCCTCCGTCAACAAAGGTCTTGGACTAAAACGTGGGATCTCCGTCGATCGTGGTGAATCGACCTGCATCGGACGACCAAGGAATGGAGTCGGCAAAAGGAAAGGCGGAAGGGGAGGCGAAAGGGAAGGCGGAAGTGCTGTCTGGGGAAGGAAACGCGGAAGGGGAGGCGGAAGGGGAGGCGGAAGAGAGCGCGGAAGGGGAGGCGGAAGGGGAGGCGGAAGGGGAGGCGGAAGGGGAGGTGGAAGAGGAGGCGGAAGGGGAGGCAGAAGGGGAGGCGGAAGGGGAGGCGGAAGGGGAGGCGGAAGAGAGCGCGGAAGGGGAGGCGGGGAAGTCGACTTGTCGATCTAGAGCGGTCGTGGGGCTGCGGCTCCGAGCCGTGGCCATCTCAAAAATCCCTATTGATTATACATACCTTTTACATACTTTTTCTATACTCATTGGTATGTATTTAGGAGGGGTGATTAGGCCTACTATAAAGTAGAAGTTGTCGTACCTTTTTAGTAGGGTCCATTTCCATACGAAAAGGACTAGCTATTTAGTTAGTAAATGTACCTCATTGACATGTCATTTATATTACATTTGCTTTCCCAACATCATGAAACCGCCTCCCGTTAGTCATGCATTTTCTGATAAAAAAATATACATTTGCCTATCCAATGGTATGGAAACTATGCAAATTTGGGGCTCCAATTTCTAGCTAAAAATGACCCATATGTATGTATCCCAAAAGTAACCATTTGTCCATTTTCCCAATATATATATCACATACGCTATATAACACAACACATCTCAGCATGGCACCAATTCGCCCGCCCATATCATCCACCTCTACACACTATCCTCCGCATCCTCCCACTCGCCCACATCATCCAGGAGATCATGCTCCATGGTGGCATCACTGCTGTTGGAACCCGTCTTCTTCTTCTTGCCTTTCTCGGGCTCCACCTAGGCATATTCGAACAGGAGAGCAACCTCCTTCTTCTCGGTGGCATCGGGGTCAGCCCCATCGGGAACAAGGTCGGGGAAGCCGCTGCCCGAGATCACCACGGTCTCGGTGGGTCCAAACACCCACCCCTGATACTGCTCCGACCATGCAGGAAGCTGGTCATCCGGGGACTCTTCGAGGGTCTTGCGAATGGCAGCCTTCACCTTGCGGTGGTAGCTGGCAATGTCAGCTGCATTGACATCCGCATCCGTTGGAATGCGTTTGCCACGAGCCTTGTGGTGCACGACTGAATATTCAACCTGTTACAACGGGGGAGTGAGGATTAAAGGGGAAAGATAGTGTTGGTTAGGCAATTTGGACATGGCAGCCAAGTGGGAGGTGATAGAGCACAAAAGGCATGCGATGACACCTCCACTCCGCGTTCCTGAGGGGTGGTGAGCAGGGAAAGGAATGAACAGCATTAGGAAGAGTGTGCGAGGCGCACCGAGCGACAAGACTGGCACAAATTTAGCCCCACTATGCTCCTGCCAGCATAAGGGGTGGTTGGAGTGGAGAGGGGCAACATGGGAGAACGGTTGATGCATGTAGTATGGAGTGCACCACGCTGGGCATGGATTCAACGCCCTACAAGCTTCTGCAAGTGTGGCAGAAAACGGGAAGGGTGGCAGGGGAAACAGGAAGGGTGCGATTGCTTGACATGAGGGTCAGAGGGAAGATGGTTTGAGGGAAGATGGGGCGACCAACTGGCTATGCAAGGCAATCTTCAAAGCAACCAATCTTACAGCTACAATACAACACTGGAAACTAAGTGCTAGCACATGTGCAAACGTAAAAAATCCGCTCATACGTACCAGATACAGCAGATAGGCGATGTGGTACGCCTTCACCACCGTAGCCGACCCGCCAGCTCCCTTCTGAAATGCGTTGCGGACGATGATGTCGAAGAGCACAGTGCCAAACGGGCGCATCGTGCCGTCAGCAAAGTGCTAGCGAAGAAGCCCTCCCTTTTCTGCTCAACACGTACATATTTAAACAATGGAAACAGACATGCAGTCATTAGTTACATGGAACGATGGGTATTGTCATAACCAAGGGTATGCCAAGAACATACGACGTATACAGCACCATGCGTAACAGCTGTGGTTACCAATGCTCACGAACTGCACTTACCAAGAGGCTTGACCAGTGGTGTACCATCCTCGCTCTCCAAGTTGTATACTTGGGTCGGTGTGCGCTCCTCATCACAAATCAGCTCGGTGTAATCGAATTTCAGACGGGGATTCGCTTCGCAAACCAGCCCAAAAGCGTCAGAAAAATTCCGGCGCCCATTCATCGAGATCCGCGCACGCCAATCACTCTGCTTGCGCGTTGAAGCGCCTGCCCGCGCCACGCAGTACATCATGACTGCTGCCAGCGCGGCAGCCTTGCTCTTGCCCCAAACACCGATGAGGCACCGCATCACCACGCTTTCTGACGGGTACACGCTTGTAACGTCGTCCGGTTGGCGAAAGAACGCCACAACGACAGCTAGCTACATTTTTTTCTGGTACATGGGAATGCGGAAAAGAATAGGCAGATTAGCAAACTTGGAAACGTGGCAAAGTGCATGTAACCCCGTCGACTTCAAGATCGTTCATGAGTAGCTTTCGTGAAGCAGCCCCAAACACGTGTTACACAAATATCTGTGCACTGTTGTTGAGCGCGGTTCGCTTTGAGCTAACTTGCTGTGAACGCCATCTGAAATTCCGTACAGAAAGTCATTGAAATGTGCCTGACGAAGTGATGTTCTCGTCACTTCTCGTCACTTTTTTGTTTCACATGCCACGTGGCGAAGTGGCGTTACATCTTTCTAGATATTTTGCCAGGTCAAAAAGGACCAATCAAATGTCAGCTAAGGGTGTGCCTATACGTAATTTGATTGGCTTGCGATTCTGAACAGCGACCGCATGTCGCACACGAAATACTGTACAGCTTGCCATTCCGCACGTCGAAAATTTCAAGGGAGCACAACGAGGATCCGTTCGCGTTTTAAAAAATGCGTTATCATTACAACAAGTACATTGACATAGCAAACACAACCGCACACCCGAACAAACTGCACGTCCATATGGACACATAGCTAACCAGGTCTACTCTTAGGCCTAGTTAGGAACTAAGCAGACCAGATCAGGTCGGACGGTACTTGATGACACCAGCAAATTCAGTAGCGGAACGGTTTGGTGCCTGCATAAAAAACGACGAACGTTATGGAACCTGCAATCAAGACAACAGCAAACGATCGTGACACGTGAGAGGAAAAAAAATATATTAAAAAAAAAAAACGAGAACAGCTCGACGAATAACACAGGCGACGGTGTGACAGCTCCAGATGCAAAGATTCTCACGCCCATGGAGATACACAAGCCAGGTTTGCAAAGATTACCTAGCGCAACTCCAGCTCTCCCTCACATGCCAAAAGCTACGGTGAATGGAGCCTCGGGCGAGCCGGTCTGCACGACGTGCCCCCGCTGCAGCACGGCGATGCAGTGCGCGCAGCGCACGGAGCGGCGGTGGGCGACGACGAGCGTGGTGCGCGCGCCCATGAGCGCATCGACCGCAGCCTACAGCACCTGCTCGCTCTCCGCGTCCAAAGCCGACGTCGCCTCGTCCAGCAGCATCACCTGCGGATTCCGCAGAATTGCCCGCGCGATCGCCACGCGCTGCTTCTGCCCCCCGACAGTTGCGTATCTCGCTCCCCCACATGCGTCTCATAGCCCTGCGGGGGGAGGGGAAGGGTACGGAGGGAAGAGAGCGGTAAGGATGGGAGTGCGAGCCCGGGGCATGGGAGGCAGAAACGAAGGGAAAGGGGGAACGGAAAGCAGTCTGAGGAGCAGGGGTAAGAGGGAGAGGCGGAGCTAGGAAGAAAGACTTACGAAGGAGAGGCGCGAATTCACTTACGTCGGGCAGCGAGGAGATTAAGTAAGTGATGTTGGCGAGGCTGAAGCGCCAAAAGATGGGCACGTCCATCACCTCGCGCAGCTCCAGCGCTCCCTCACGCGCCAAGCTAACCTTGAAAATCCTTGGGGAATGGAATTAGGAGGGGGGAGGGCAGATGCAAAAAGGGGATAGAAATTATTAAGGACCCGAAGAGTAAGGACCGGGAAAGCAAGCTAGCTCAAGAAATTGCTAGGCCATAGTAGTGGACGTAACATATTGTCGGTAGCGGAATACTAACAACCGGAGCGCTATGAAAGAGGCACATAGAGCGCTGGAGGGTGCCTAGATCTTCAGGAGATAAAGCGTTGCGAGGACCGAGGAGTGTGACTTGAACAGAAGACCTAGGGAGGCATAGCATTTGTACGGCGGGGTGGGTGTTCGGTGGAGGTGGTGGGGAGGATGAGGGGTCAAGAGTGGTATGAGGCTCGGTATGCCGATGTGTGGATAAGGAGGGTGTGAGTGTTGATTCTGGTTAAGTGGACTACAACGATTGGTTGAGCAGATTCGTAAGGCTCGGTTTATTAGGTTCGGAGAGGTGAGAGATATTGGTGGTTATCAGAGGTTTGATGTGGCACGTTACGCAAATTGGGCATTTATCTTAGCGGTAACAATCATGGAGCTCGATCGCACGCGAGGTAAGCTACGTGTCCAAATCGTAACAGCGATGTCTTCTCATCGCCACCATGGTAACCAGGATTGCCGAGATGGTCAGCATTATTGCCTGGATGGTAATGAACAGTGCATCCGGAAATCCTGGCTGGTAACTTCGCGTTCCAACCAAACTGTACACCGTACAAGTCAGGTTTGACTCAGCAAAAAGAAACTGACTGTCCACGTACACACCCACAGAATGCGCCATTCTGTTTATAATAACAACGTTTACAAATCCAGACAGTAAAACCTCGATATGCAAACTTGTAATCCTTCAAAAAATTACAATCAAACAAACAAACATTAAGCATTTATCATAGAACAAACGCCACAAAAAAACACACACAATGTCAAACCGCAAAGCTATCCTAGTGATATTTTTTTGAAAGAACAAATTATTTTAACCTACCATAAATATATTTCCGAATAATAAAAAATGGGGGAACACCAAGTAGCAATGATTTTAATATGAGCATAATAATATTATTTTTTGCAAATGACAAATTATAAAAGTTGCATAAGATTTTAAATCTTTTATTGATATTATACACCATGCATTCAAGACTCGATATAAACTGTATTAACAGATGATTTCATCCCAGTTTTAATAATCAGGCTACATCTATTTTTCCTGAGTGTCCATAAGATGCTTGCTATAATAGTGATAGTTAAATATATCGAATACGTGCATGTAACGTTTCGTGTTTGTAAGCGTTGGTATACTAAAGAGAATCGCGCATTCTATGGGTGTGTACGTGGACAGTCAGGCCCTGTTTGGCAGGCGCATGAGCTTCTAGGCTCGGGAATGAGCACTGGTTCGGACTTGATGTAACGTACCAAATTGTAAAATTTGGGTGTCGTGTACAGTGCCACAATGCGGGGAACAGTCGCAAGCTCGGTGAAGGAAGTTTGTCCGGGCTGCCCTGCTTGCTGGTTAGGGGATCAAAGTTACAATGACCAATAGTGAACCATCTTCCCTGACTGCCTACCAATGCGCAACCTGCACAATCTTCAATGCTGCCCCTCATCACTCATGCGCGCATGGATGCTACCTCTCAACGACGCATCATGCGCGCATGAGTGGTGCGTCGGTTTGCCAGGGGAGGATGGTTCCAGGACCAAGGTCTCATTCCCAAACCTGAGACCAAAAGCACCGTTCGGCAGTCATTCAGACTCATTTCGGCTGGGTGTTCATGCGCATATCCCAGGCCTTGATAGCCGATCAACCGCTTAGCTCAGAAGCACCCCGATTGGTCATTCAACTGTAGCCCATTTCCAAGCCTGTGCTCATGCTCCTGCCAAACAGGGCCTCAGTTTCTTTTTGCTGAGTCAAACCTGAATTGTACGGTGTACAGTTTGGTTGGAACGCGAAGTTACCAGCCAGGATTTCCGGATGCACTGTTCATTACCATTCAGGCAATAATGCTGACCATCTCGGCAATCCTGGTTACCATGGTGGCGATGAGAAGACATCTCTGTTACGATTTGGACACGTAGCTTACCTCGCGTGCGATCGAGCTCCATGATTGTTACTGCTAAGATAAATGCCTACGCAAATTTGGTTGGGATGATGTACTGTACTTGGCTTGGAGTGGACTTGTTTGGTGTGTCAGAAGAACTAGGCAAGAATGATGCATTGAATGAAACAGTTGGGTACAAGTAGCAAACCCTAGTTGGGGTTGTACCCCATATTGGCTACCCCACTACAGCCTACAAGCATAATGCAGTTTAACACACCCCCATAGGCAAAGTGGGGGAGAACAAAGGGTCACAAGACCAGTCCAGCAAAGCAAAGCAAAGCCCAGGGTGGATCACAACGTCACCACACTCCGAGCACAAGTAAAGGCCACAAGGCCAGTTCACATGCAGTGCTAGATATAGTACAAGACAAGCAACACAGTGATCAAAACCTAGCAAGCAAGCAACAAAGTACAGTACAAAGAATGTCAAGCAGTGAGCAAGTGAGGAAACGTGGACACAAGGCCTAAAGAAGTACAGTGCCGCTGATGATCACTAGGCGGGAGCGCCTTGGTGAAGATATCAGCAGTGTTGGCCTTCGAGTCCACGTACACAAGCCGAAGCTGACCGCGCTGCTGAAGCTCTCGAGCAAGAAAGTAGCGAAGAGCAATGTGCTTCGTCCTGTGCTCCAGTCTGTGCTCCTGACACAAGGCAAGAGCCGCCTTGTTGTCACCGTACAGAACTGGAGGAGAACTAGGCCGCTCTCCCAAGTCAGTCAGCAGGTAGGTGAGCCAGCGTAACTCCTGTGCAGCCATGGCTGTGGCGTAGATCTCAGCCTCACAACTAGAGCCGAGAACAGAGGAAGAGCGGGTGGACCGCCACGAGACAGAACCTGAGCCAAGGCTAAAGGTGTAACCCTGTGACGACCGCTGCGTAGCCAGGTCGTCCACCCAAGAGGCGTCCGAGTGACCAGTGAGGACAACTCTGTCGCGTCCTCCAAGCACCAGCCCCATGCCTGATGTACTGCACAGGTAACGCAGCACCCTCTTAGCAGCCTCCCAGTGCTCTCGCCTGTGTCTCCCAGGCGCAACGTAACGAGCAAGGATGCTAAGAGGGTACGCGAGGTCAGGTCGCGTGCAAGTCATCAGGTACATGAGGCAGCCTACAAGCTCTGGGTACGGGCCACTCGGCTCTACGGACTCGTCCGAAGGTGGAGCTGAGAGCGAGTGGCTGGTAGCCAGAGGTGTGGCCTGTGGTGAGGAGAACTGGAAGCCGAAGCGCTGAAGGACCTGCTGCACCATGTGTGACTGAGTCAGGGTGATGGTGCGGCGAGCTCTGTCCCGGGTGATCTGCAAGCAAAGATAGCTACGCAGTTCACCCAGGTCAGTGCAGGTGTGTCTCTTCTGCAGCTCCGACTTCACACGAGCGAGTGCCTCAGTAGCAAAGACCAAGTCGTCGACGTACACGAGGATGTAGAACGGCGGCAGCGACGTGTCTGTGCGCAGAAACAGCGACGGGTCAGCAGTAGACGGCGCGAACCCAAGAGCCGCAAGAGTAGTCCTCAGTGTGTCGTGCCACTCACGTGGCGCCTGGCGGAGACCGTAGACTGGCCGGCGGAGACTCCACTGGGTACCAGGGGGAAACGACCCAGTAAAGCCAGGTGGGCGGCGCAGCCAGATCTCCTCGTGCAGGCTGCCCTGCAGGAACGCTGTGCTGAAGTCAAGAGAGTGAAGCTCGTAGTCACGCTGAGCAGCAACGTGCAGCAGAACCCGAAGAGTGGTCATCTTCGGGGTGGGGGAGAAGGTCTGGAAGAAGTCGACCCCCTGACGCTGACTGAAGCCTCTAGCAACGTAACGAGCCTTGAAGACAGGCGGAGAACCTGGCGGCCGCTTCACCCTGAAAATCCACATACCATCGACGATGTTCGCCCCAGGAGGGGGAACCTCGTCGACGTAGGTGCCTGTGGACTTCCAGGATGCCATCTCTGCGTCCATGGCTGTCTGCCACTGAGAGGAGTAGGGACCCGAGATCGCCTCTGCGTAAGTGCGCGGAGTGGGGATGTCTACTGCATCCGGGTCTCCCTCAGGGGCAAGCAACCAGGCCACGAGATGAGGTACAGCAGCCGCAAGTGAGTCAAAGTCCTCCTGCCTGTCCTCAAGGACGTCCGTGCCAAGAGCACACTCACCCCCGACGGACGGAGGACAGACAGACGCAGACTCTGACTCAGCGACAAGGCTAGCAGCGTAGTCTAGACGACAGGCAGCAGCAAAGTCAACCAACTCAGCGACCAGAGCAGACGCAGCCGAGGACTCAAAGGTGGGGTCAGTGACAACAGTAGCAAGGAGACGCGTGACTGTAGGGTGCTCAGCGCGATACCGGTCAGACTCAGGGTCCGGAACGGCAGGCAAAGAGGACGCAGGAGGAGACGGTAGAGGGACACGCCGAGGAGCAGTAGAGGGACGCAGAGTCATGTAGTGAGTGCCTGGGACAGGAGGAGGACGCTCACGACGGACACGACTACCAGTGCGAGCAGGACGAACAGGCGACGCAGGACGAGACTCAGGCTCACGACGCTCTGTAAGACCTCCTGTGGGACCAGTGTAAGGAGAGGGAGCAGGGAGAGGCGAGGTAGGCGGTAACTGTGACTGCGGCTGGACAGGCGGAGG